TTTCTATTTGTGAGAGAATAAATATATCTTAATTCTTTGTAAGAATTTGACTACACTTAATTGCAACGCACTTACAGTGTACACTTTAAATTTCATATAAAACTCAATTAACAATCCAAATATTATATTGGAAGACTTCATGAACTATTTTATTCACATTTTACAAATATACGACAGTTCTTTTCATATTGATCTCAATTAACATTCCAACAATTATGTCGAAGGACTTTTTCGACAAAATTACGCATTGATAATATTTTATCGAAGAACTAGTTTGGGTATGCGCAAAATATCCTGAAGAAATCCCTTACCAAACTGATATGTTTACTGCAGGCCTGCAGCAAGTCTGCTGCAAGCTTGCAGCAAACAAAATTGTTCGCAGGAAGAAAATTTTCTTGTTCGCAGATGATTGCTGCTAGCTGCGATCTTGCGGCAAACATTGCAGCAATTGCTGCAAGCTTGCAGCAAATTCGCAGGAACCCAACATGTTTGCAGGAACATTGCAAGAAACATACATGCCAATTTAATGTTCGCAGCAAGTTCGCAGGAAACTTTTCACTATTCAAATGTTTGCAGGAAGTTCGCAAGAATAGTAAACAAGTCCAATCAGCCAATGAAATGCAGATTATACTGGGTCAACACAAAACTGGCCATTTTGAAATGTTGGAATTGAAGTTGTACACGTTTCAGTATTTTGTTAGGAATATACATCGTTTTGAATGATTAAAAGTGCCAAACTCTGGATGTAGATGTTCATTCTATCAATGATATCTAATTGGTAAGAAATGATTTCGATTTATTTTGATATTTGAAAGAATATTTCTTAAAAGCACGTTTGAGTAACTGGTGTAAATGCTAGGTCAAATCTAAATCTGCTTCTTATGAATTTCAGTCCTCTTTTTGATATCACATATGTATACCTTTTAAAAGTATTAATGGACCCAAATCAGTTAAATGTTATCAAATTAATTAGTAAATGTGTAATCACAAAAATATTCCTTAAAAATTATATATAAAGTTCTTAAAGTTCTGTTTATATAAAAACGCTATCATGCACTTTAATTTTAAAAAGGTATGAAAACTTTGTCTAGGAACGTAAAGAGGGCCTCCTATCATAACTTCATAAAACTGCATCATTTCAGAAACATGTGGTGGATTTTCTCTAAACTTAACATATTTAGGTCAGGACAAAGGCTTTCTGTGAACTTGCTGCTTGTACAAAGGAATGTGCCAAAACCATAAGGAAATTGTTTGCTGCAAGTTAGCAGCAATGTTTGCTGCAAGCTTGCTGCAATGTTTGCGGCAGGCTTGCAGCAATGTTTGCCACAAGCTTGCAGCAATGTTTGCTGCAGGCTTGCAGCAATGTTTGCCGCAAGCTTGCAGCAAGGTTTCCTTATTTGGAAAATCGAATGTTTGCTGCAGACTTGCAGCAAACCTCATTTGCATGGTAAAATGTTTGCAGCAGGCTTGCTGCAGACTTGCCGCTAACTTGCTGCAAACACCAAGGCTTTGTATAGACTGTCATGCTTTCTTTGGCTACATTGCCGCAAGCTTGCAGCAATGTCTGCTGCAAGCTTGCAGCAATGTTTGCTGCAGACTTGCAGCAAATATTTGCAGGAAGGCAATATTTTCGGTAAGGGATGATCAATCCTCTTTGACTGATAAGTGGGGTTTTTGTTTTATTTGTGAGAGAATGTCATAACAATGGAATGTCAATCAAAGGTTCATAAGTCCAATTTTGTTTTACATGATTTTATTTATTGAAGATAAAGTTTAAACAAAATCTTGTTAATTTTTTTTCTCTTTAAAAAGTTAGGGACAGACTGGATGCTCTTTAATAAGGAAATCAACTAGTGCAGTGCTGCAATGCATCTCATTGTAATTGCTTGACGTATACTGCCTACTTAAAACATATTTGGTCTGTCTTTATTAAGTTAGGCCTAAAAATTAACATAAATAGGAATTTTCCTGTCTGACTGACGAGTTGAACATCTCCAGACTCATTCAAACAAAGCGCCCATTGTAGAACAATTAAGAGCGCTTTCAGTGCTAGGTCTACATGCTTGGCCAATTAGCAGTACTTGTATAGTGAGAGAAACTCACACTATATGTAAGACCAAACTTTACATGAGTGAGCGACTCTCTAGTCTTATATAGTATACCAACTTGTTATCCGTTGATATTGCCTAAACATTTGCATAATCGTTTTGTCTTCGTTGTTCAAAGGGGCATAATTTGATTATCGAACTTGTTAAGAAACTGACATTATGCAAATTTTGCAACTTACTTTCAGGCGCAAGAGGAAATTGTATATAAAGGTTGACTTTGGAGGGTGGATGGTGGGGAATGTTTATAAAAGGGCATTAACTAGTTATGCTTGCTAAAATACAAGTATAACTGCACCATACTGCACTCTGCTGCAATCAGTGCAACATATAGCTATAGTGCCTAGCAAATCATCCAGTCAAAACAAACGTAGTCAGTTTGTTGTAATTAAATTGAAAATATGATTAAATGCAATTTTCCTTCAGTGTTTTGAAAAAAAAAATTTAAAAAAGAAACAGACTGCATCAACTATTTTACTCATATTTTAAAACTAATATATGACTGTTCTCTTTCATATAAATCTCAATTAACAATCAGGTAATTATATCGAAAGCATTATGTCAAAGGACTTTTTCAACAAAATTACGCATTGATAATATTTTATCGAAGGACTAGTTTGGGTATGCGCAAAACATCCTGAAGAAATGATCAATCCTCTTTGACTGATAAGTTGGTCTTCTTTTTTTGTGAGAGAATAAATATATCTTTTCTTTATAAGAATTTGACTACACTTTGTTGAAATGCATTTATATTGAATTCCTATAGAATTTCATATACGACAGCCAACTGCTTACTGCCAACTGCTGAGTGGCAGTTGGCATTAAGCAGTTAGCAGTTGACAGTAAACAGTTGGCTGTCGCATATGGAATTCTATAGGTCCCGGATTTTCAGTTTGTTAACGAGAAATTTAGGAACTGGTTCACAGTCTTCGTTTTGTGTTTCTGGAATGCCACTAAAAATAAGATTGTCCCTCATTGACCTACTTTTTAGATCAGTGATAGACCTCTGTAATTCTTCATTTTGTCTTGTCATTGAGCTTAATTCTTTGTTCACATTCTCCCGCATGGTTTTAGTTTTATGAATTTTAATTCCATTTTCTGCGGTCTTATGAACGTCGTCAAAAATCTGGCAAGTCGCTGCTGCAGCAGCACTTTGTTCCACATCAAAATCTGTCTGTTTCATAGCTGTTTTAAAAATCGTTCTCAATATAATACATGTAGTACTTACTTTGCTTTTCAGTGTTGAGACCAAGTCATTTATAGTCTTTATGTCTGACACCTTAATTCAATTTATGTAAGTCTTTTCTCTAAAGCTACATAATTTTCAATGACTAATAGTTTCAAGTTCATTTGCATCAGCAGTGAGTGAATTGTTTCTAATGAAACTGTTGAGCTCTGAGTGGCTGTGTCCATTGTCTCCCCATAAATAAGAGAATGACTTTGAGGGACTAGATCAACAGTATCACTAGAAGATAATTGTAATGTTGTTCCTATCTATATACACTGTACACACAAATTAGCAGGTATACAAGGTTGTGTCCATATGTAGCCAGCATGTACAAGTCAGTGAACCGTGACTTCTCATCAACACCTGGGTCTCATCTCTGATGATCTGGAGGTCACCTTCTTCTCTGCTACCAGTTTCTTTTATTTTAATTGCCTTTAAGGTTCACAAACATTATATCAAATTATATCAAATGTTGCTTGAACCTTAATGATTTTCCAAAAGAAATATATTTTATAATTAAAAACAAAGTGCAAACAATTATAGCATTGCTTGTGGAGCAAAATTGGACAAGACACTACAACTTGGCAAATTTATATAGGAATAATAGACATTAATGTCATTAAGAGTTACCTCCCTTATCAGAGTATCAATCCACCTTAAGAGTTTGAGCACTATTTGTTTTCTTCCTTTTTCATGCAGTAATACCTTTACTCCTTAACATTTAGGAGTTTCATGTACAGTCCTCTTCAAACTGTAATTATTGTCATGGAAGACTCCAGAATGGCATTCAATTTATCAGAACTTCAGTAATCCATGATACTTTGATCTTATTTAATAAGGTAATCAAGAAAACAACCAACTGAATGAGAATTGAACAGAAGAGCAAGTAATGATCAAAAATAAATTAAAATGCTCAAAAATTACTTGGTGAAAGGGGTGGGGGTAACGACGAGAATGTTCTTGAAATGAAGAAAGCAAAAATTTCTATGCATTTAAATAACTTTATTTTCTTAAACACAGGATCTATGAAGATACATGTATTGAATTCTAGGTATCAATGAAGTGTATACATCAAAGCACTAACAAGTATGAATGCATAGCACCATCATAATTTTGTTTTATCTCTTACAGAAAATTCTGAAAAAAAACATTTTATATGGCTATAACAGAGATGACAATAAACACAAAGAAGTCTCAACAAACTACCCGCTACTTACGTGAAATATTATGCTGCACAATCCAGGCTTTAAAAGTGTTGAACATGTAAACTTCCTATCTGGATTTTTCAATATATATATATATAGCTTGTCTTTAAAAATGTCAGAGATATAAAATGGATTGAGTCTAAAATCATTACAGAGAGACAGATAAATAAAATGATTATTAAATTCCAGACAAACAAATACATGATTTATACTAGAGGTTCCCTGGAAAACTGGGACCATGTATACATCTGTACAACAGATGAGTAAAAAATTACAATGCTATTTAAAAACTTTAAACAAGACGCACAAAACATCAGAACAAGAGGAAATTGGTAAATAAATAACAGACACTTGATATACATATTGTACAAAAAACAAAACAAGGAAAATTAACAATTATATTAAAACTATCGTTTTTTTTTTCAAATTGTTAATAATGGTTGAGGTATAAATATCTTCAGCTATTGTAAGTTAAGCTGAGCAGAGAGAAGAAAAAACATTCTCTTCGAGTCCTATCCTATGGACATGCTCTTTGTATACAGTGACATGGTACCATTGTCGTACCCATAAGTCCTGTACAGGTTACCCTTAACTGCCACATCCTCCAGAGCTCGAATCATCATGATTGACAGCTTATGCTCCTCCTCCGTGACATTTAACCTCGTAAACATGGCCGACAAAGCAGAAATGTAAGCTGCAGTCAAGTTTGCTTCACGGTTTACCGAGGCTTCAATACCAATCTTTCTTGATTTTGCAACTGCTGCTTGCTGAATTTCATTTGCTGGAGAGAGAAAATTTCATATTATTACTGTATACTGGTAATCAAGTTCTTAAAAATCAGTTCTTGTATATGCATATTTACTTTAAAAGTAGGCTATGTCATAAGAATAAACAACCAGGGATTGACACTAACTTTAAAACCATAGTTGTCAGCAGGGCTAGCCATTTCTAATTTCTACTAGCCCTGTTCATGTATTACTTGTCCAACAGCCGAAGGCTGGTGGCCAATTCGCGAAGCGACGATGGGGGTAGGTGCGGGAGGGGGTTTCCCCCTCCTGCTGGTGGGGGTATGGGGGGCCTCCCCTGGGAAATTTTGAAAATAGAGATGCAAAATCCTGCATTCTGGCTGTATTTTGGGTAAAAATTATATGTCACTCTATGATTGTACCTAAGGTATTCTTTCTATTCGAAAAATTCCATATTTACGTTTAATCATTTAGGGTATTTCAAATCACTTTCAAAAATAAAAATTATGATGATAAAACATGTTTGAAAATAAATTTAACAATTATCAGGTATACTGTGTATAAATTATAATTATTTTCTTGCTCCTAGTGAGTAATTGGTAAAATTTACTGTAGCCCTGCAGGGCAAGTTTAAAGACATGTTTGGTAGCCCGACCTCAGTATTCAGTTGTCCCAGGCCAGTGGGCTAGCGTTAGTGTCGAACCCTGACAACTAAGGAATATTTTTGCCTAAATGGTTAATAGTAGTGAGTTATCGTTCGTGTTGCGGTGGCGCTACGTGTCCCGGTCCTTGATAAACTTCCGCCTCGTGATAAACACATTGTAAATAAACTGGGATGTTAGGTTTACGATTGTTTTAAATACAAAGAATAATGCCTAGTAATTGTTGTTGTGTGCCTGGATGTCACGAAAGAGGTGGACATCAGTTCCCTACGGAAAAGTTAAGGACAGATGATACAAACAATTTTTTTCTTTGAAAAAGATTTAATATCATGTCACAAGTTTAGAAAAGTGGATAATTCTTAGAATATTTTCTCCTTAGAACTGGAAAACTAAATAAACTAGGAAAATATTAGTAATATTTCAATAAAAAACAAATATTGACAAATCACATTCAGTAAAGGTTTACAGGTGAAAACAAATTTCAAAATATGTTACTTTTGTGGTAAAAGTGTAATATAAACCTTAGAAAAATATACCAAGCCGGATGAATTTTAAGAGGAAGAACAAAATGACAAAAAATTAGCAATATTACATAGGCTGATTTTTACAATTTAACTTTTCCTAATTAAATTTCACCTGGCTTGGTATATCTTTTTTCAGTTTATATTACACTTTTAGCACCAAGATAACATATTCTGAAATTTGTTTTCACCTGTAAACGTTTACTGAATATGTTTTGTCTATATTTGTTTTTTCATTGAAATATTACTAATATTTTCCAAGTGTTTTTCATAATCCTGTTCTTAGGAGAACAAAATCTAAGAACAATCCACTTTTCTAAACTTGTGACATTATATTTAATCTTTTTCAAAGAAAAAAATTGTTTGTATCATCTGTCCTTAAGAAGAAACAAGTGGATTGTTGCAATTAAACGCTTGGACGAGCGCACAAACAAGCTATGGGAGCCTTCGAAGTCAGCTGTTGTTTGTAAACGACATTTTACTTCAGATGACTACGTGTCGGAGACTATTCAGGGTATATTATAACGAACATTAAATTATTATATACTCAGTTTTAGAATTATATTGTAAATAACAGAATTCAGTCAAATTCTTAAATTTATGTTGTCACTGTTGTGTATAATTATTTATATAGTACATATATGTAGATTTAAATAGGTTTCCGATATGAGATAATTTTTTTTGTTTTGTGGAAAGGAAAGATATAACATCTTAATACACTTCACGTAATTTTTTAGTATCAAATACCTTATCATCAAAATATGTGTGTGTGGGGGGGGGGGGGGGGCACTGCATTGATTTGAGCACAAACTTAAAACAAAGGTCTATGGTTTGAGTATTTTGTACAATTATTAAATGTTGTTGCACAGTGTAATATGTTTTACTGTTTATATATAGGACAGAAACCTCTATCTGGAAGACTGAAGAATACTGCTGTGCCAAGCATTTTCTTTTGGACAAAGGAGACAGAAAGTTCATTTGCCCGAGCATCCAGGGCAGAAGGCAGGGATAGCAGAAAAAGAAAGTTTGATGAATTCTGTCATGAAGAATTAGAGTGCAGTTTCAGTGAATTAGACTGTATGGAAGAAACTGTGGTAGCTGATGACTCAAAAGTGTGTGCCGAGGAGGAAAAATTAAACTCTGTTGAATTAAGAGACACCTGTACACAAACACAGTCACAGCCAATATTTTCAGTTGAACAGTTCGAGAAGGATAATTCAGCCATACATTTTTATACTGGCCTTGAAACTTATGCCAAGTTTTTGTTTACACTGCAGTCACTTGGCCCTGCTGCTTATTGTTAAAGATATGTATTTTTTCAAGTTCAAGGGGTATCTATTCCCAATCAGTATTTTATGACACTTATGAAACTACGGAGGTATACTACCAATTTTGAACTTTTAAGATTTTTCAATGTTTCAGAAAGTACTGTTAAAAATATTGTACTTACCTGGATTTTATTTATGTCAAAACAGTGACGAGAGATTTCAATTTGGCCATCTCAATCTCTTGTTCGTTATTTTGCACCATCAGATTTTAAGTCAAAATTTCCAACTACCAGAGACATTTTAGATGCAACTGAATTTCCAATTAAAAAACCAAGTACACCTAGGGCACAGCAAGCCACATTTTCAACATATAAAAACAGAAATACAATGAAAGCTTTAATAGGGTGTACACCAGGAGGCCTTGTGAACTTTGTTAGCCCAGCATATTGTGGGTCGACAAGTGACAGGCAAATAGTTGAGAGAAGTTGTCTTAAAAATCTTTGTGATCAAGGTGACAGTTTAATGGCTGATAAAGGTTTTAATGTCCAAGATATTTTTGCTTCTAAGGATGTTACTATAAACATTCCTACATTTTTTAGAAATAGGAACAGAATGTCAGGAAGAATTGTTCTTAATGATAGAAAGGTGTCAAGTAAAAGAGTTCATATAGAAAGAATTATTGGACTTGGTAAAACTTATAAAATTTTAACACATCCTTTAACAAGTACTGAAGCATGCATGTCATCAGATATAGTATTTGTCTGTTTTATGTTGTGCAATTTTCGCACTGGTATTGTATCATCAAATGCATAGAAAAAAAACATTTTTCAAAATTTCTTTAGCTTTCATATTTCAAATTTGAATTATAGGCAGAAATATTGATGCTAAATAAGATAAGAAATGTAAACAACACTACATGTACTGTATTTGTTTAGAAGATTTCTATGTATATTTTATTGCACACATTCACAAAGATTCACTGTAAGGCTTGTAGAAATATTTCTCAAGAATTGCTTGTTTGAAGTAGTCTTTGTAAAAGTTGTTAAGCTTATTAATCATGTCAGCTATGAATGCATCATCACGTTTGATTTCAATGTATATGATGTCATTTACTTTTAAATTGTTTGCTAAACATACAGTAAAAATACATGTGTTTGCACCGGTACACAGTAGTTGTCCTTGTATCTGATAAAAGTAGTCATGGATGGGATCAAGACTATATTTTCCTTCGTTGGTCTGCTTTAAATATGGCACCGTCAGAGTTGAAATCTTTTTATTTCTACTGACATATGGACATTTGACTTCTACAAGCTCCTGTTGATTGATTATTCCGTCAGGTGATGCAGCAAGAAAGGGGTACTCCTTACAAACGACAAGACCACTTGATTGAACATTTTGGAGCTTATCCTGTTCAAATCTCTTGATCGCAACAGATTCATGCCTGCGACCATGCTCAATTGAATTGCTTTTAATGTTTTTGATAACTGTTAGTGACGTGGCAAGTTTCATTTTGTCAGTTCTATCAGTACACTTACATATCCTACCAAATATCGAAGATGTTAAACGTTTTGCTCTCTCCTCCTTCCATGTTTTGTTTAGACTCTGCCCTTTTGTTGCTGACTTAATATTTTCAATTTGGAGATCTGATATCTTTGTAATTTGTAATTTTTCCAAATAGTTGTCTTCAGGAGATAATGTAAGATAATCATGGTCATTTGCTACTGCAATCATATTTGCTGGTGTAAATGTCTGATAGATGGGCATCTTAGAAATACCTGAGAAATTCAAACATACATTTCTAAAGTAGTGAGGATAAGATGGATTATTTCTGAATTCTTCAGGTCGTGGGTCAACAGCAATATTTGTTAATTCATCAGCACCAGGTAAATTCAGGTCATCAGATTTAATGGGACTGCCTTTGAATCTTTTAGACTTGTGGAATGTTTGCAAACGTTGTGTACATGTTTCCTCTGTCTTGATAAATTTATTCTTTGCAAACATAACAGCACCATACATAACTGCAGCTACATGTTTACAATGTGCATCAGGCCCCATACCTGCTGCACATTCGCACTGGGCCTCCAGAACAGATCCTTCATTGCTCAATTTAATATCTATTGTGTAACAAACACCCTTTCTCATCTCTGCACGACAGTTTCCTTTAATAAATGTACAGGCTGTATTGATGGATACACGGTAGTATGTCAGGAAATTGTCGTCATAAAGGTGAATAAAATGATTTTCGAATTTCTTCTCAAACCTCCCAAAATAACTATGAACGGTATCCATGGACAAACCAGAAAAGGGAGTGTCAGAATTTACGTCAGCGTACGTATCGTAACTTGGAAGTTGCATACAAAATTCTGGGTCAGTGTAATCAACTTTTCCGAAGTTGAAGTTTCTGTCATATGCTTCCAGTCTATGGAAAATTAAAAGAAAAAGAAACTGTTTTATATTTATTTACAATTTACGATTATTTAATTAATCGCCATATTGATATATTATATTTTAAGACGAAGAGTTCAGATTGTCGGCATGCAGCACGAGGTATTATCATGCGGTTTTCAGTATCGAATTACCTGTCGACCAGTTCTTGTTTTCGTCCCGTTATCCTGGCATTTCTTTTTCTTAGCTCATTTTTAAGATCTATAATTGTCATGGAGCCGTATTTTGAGTCGCTCATGATTAATATTTCGCGTGTATATAGAGACGGTATTTATATTACGTTTCTTGTTAATCGCTGCGTTGTGCATCCAATGTAAACAAGAGATGTGATGGACCGGGAACAGTATCGCCATCTAGCGGGAAGCAGGGGAACGCAACTCACTACTATTTACCATTATAGGACACTTGCTAAAGCATTACAAGGAAAGGTAATGTATCTAAACCCATCAAGCTACCCATGTGATAGAAAACCTCACCTGAGCCTCTAGCATAGACGAGCCAAAAAATAAGTACATGTGCTAAATACTGTATCCTTTTTTTAATTATTGTAATGTTTACCTGTATTACGTATTTGTGTTGTGTTTCGCAGCGTCTTTTTAATTTCCACCATTTTCTCCTGAATAAACACCTCTCTGTCAGCATTTTCCTAAAAAAAACAAAAGAACAAAAATCATTTAAGCATTTTAAAAATATCCAAATCCTAATACATTTCAATTTATTTTAAATTGTTGACAGTACATGTCCATTCATTCACCTTGAGTAGAGTCCTGGTGAGGTACCTCTCTGTTACCACAGCTGGGATATCCACTTTACCAAAGTGGAAAAACTCCACATTAACGTGGAAAGCCCTGTCACAGGTACTAGCTGGAGGACAGAGAGAACACAGGGTTATGTTCTTACAGGTGCTTGGACAACAATCGGGACAGCAATTTCCTGTCAAAAGATCAAAATCTTGTTACTGTATATCTTAAGAAGTGGGCAACAGCTGTGGACACTATTTTCTAAAGCAAAATAACCCTTAAAATGAGTCATTTTGAGACATTTCCTCTTTGAAATAGAGAAATGCATCAAATTAATGACATCATACATGTATTTACAGAATAATACTCTTTCATGCCATATTCCTTCCTGATTTATAGTCATACAGTCAATTCTCGAATTATCGCCATTCAATTCATCACCATTTTCATAATACAGCCATGATTTTATACATGTACTTTATTTCAAAACTGCACAATTTGTTTTAACAAAATTGTACATAAACTAGAACTGTCCAAACGGGACAAAATACCCCCTGCTGGGTTTTTCAGAGATAAGTTTTTCCATAATAAAGATATGTATCAAACATGAATCATACAATTTTTCTTTCAGTGACCTTGAACTTGAACAGATGACCTTGGGTCAAGGTCACGACACACACATAGGTCATGAGGTATCTTTGAGTGAAATGAGGACCTACCAAGTTTATCCATAAGAAAGATATGGACCGGAGACAAATTATGAAATTTTTCTTCCAGTGACCTTGAACTTCCCCAAATGACCTTGGGTCAAGGACATGACACACCCCTTAGGTCATGGGCAATCTTTTTGTGAAATGAAAACCTACCAAGTTTATCCATAAGAAAGATATAGACCGGACACGAATTATGAAATTTTTCTTCCAGTGACATTGAACTTCCCCAAATGACCTTGGGTCAAGTTCATGACACACCCTTGGGTCATGGGCAATCTTTGTGTGAAATGAAAAAGTACCAAGATTATCCCTAAGAAAGATATGGACCGGACACATATTATGAAATCCAAATGACCTTGTGTCAAGGTCATGACACACCCTTGGGTCATGGGTAATCTTCGTATGAAATGAAAAACTACCAAGATTATCCGTAAGAAAGATATGGACTGGACACGAATTATGAAATTTTTCTTCCAGTGACCTTGAACTTCCCCAAATGACCTTGGGTCAAGGTCATGACACACCCCTGGGTGATGGGCAATCTTTGTGTGAAATGAGATCCTACCAAGTTTATCCATAAGAAAGATATGGACCGGACACGAATTATGAAATTTTTCTTCCAGTGACCTTGAACTTCCCCAAATGACCTTGGGTCAAGTTCATGACACACCCCTGGATGATGGGCAATGTTTGTGTGAAATGAGAACCTACCAAGTTTATCCATAAGAAAGATATAGACCGGACACGAATTATGAAATTTTTCTTCCAGTGACCTTGAACTTCCCCAAATGACCTTGGGTCAAATTCATGACACACCCTTCGGTCATGGGCAATCTTTGTGTGAAATGAAAAACTACCAAGATTATCCGTAAGAAAGATATGGACCGGACATGAATTATGAAATTTTTCTTCCAGTGACAATGAACTTCCCCATATGACCTTGGGTCAAGGTCATGACACACCTTTGGGTCATGGGCAATCTTTGTGTGAAATGAAAAACTACCAAGATTATCCATAAGAAAGATATGGACTGGGCATGAATTATGAAATTTTTCTTCCAGTGACCTTGAACTTCCCCAAATGACCTTGTGTTAAGGTCATGACACACGCCTGGGTCATGGGCAATCTTTGTCTGAAATGAGATCCTACCAAGTTTATCCATAAGAAAGATATGGACCAGACACGAATTATGAAATTTTTCTATCAGTGACCTTGAACTTCCCCAAATGACCTTGGGTCAATATCAAGACACACCCTTGTGTGAAATGAGAACCTACCAAGTTTATCCATAAGAAAAATATGGACCGGACACGAATTATGAAATTTTTCTCCCGGTGACCTTGAACTTCCCCATATGACCTTGGGTCAAGGGCATAACACACCCTTGGGTCATGGGCAATCTTTGTGTGGAGTAGTAGATTCTAATGTTCCTCCGTAAGAAAGATATGGACCGGACACGTTTGCACAGCTAGACTGACATACGGACAAGGTGATTCCTATATACCCCCCCAAACTTCGTTTGTGGGGGGTATAAAAATACTTGAAGTATTATTAAATTTACAAACTAGTATGTTTTATATACATGTAATAACAAGAATAGAAATGCTACATGTATTTCCAAGAAAGGAAACTCTTCTTGCTTTCCAAAAGATAGGAAATTCAATTAATCGCCAAATTCGTTATTCCGCCATGATTTCTAAATTACAAAAGGTGGCAGTTTATCAAGAATTAACTATACTCAACTAATATTTACACCAGTTTCATAACTTTTTGAAAACATCAAAATTGAAGGGCACAATAAATCTAAAAGTGTACCTACTTCTTCCTTAATTTATTCAAACTAACATGTAGCATTACTGATGGTGCATATACCTTCCAGCCTTTCTCTTAATTTTCTATGAAAATATTTCTCCAGCGTGGGTCGATGTAATCGGAACTGATCCACACTGAAAGGTACCGCCAGGTTCTTTATTTCACTCTCTATGACACTTCTAATGACATAATCATAATCCACTCCAAATTCTTTATGGAGATCTCCAAGCTCCTTCTTTCTGTAATCAAGATAGATTCAAAAGTTTAATAGCTGATCATTCATTGGGATGTTTTGATTTAAAGACTAGTGAAGCATCAAGATATATTAAAATATGGTATTAGCAAAAATTCTTATAAATGAACAGAACATCAAAGGGAATTTCAATCCTTGTGATTTCAAAATGTTCTGTATTAAATTGTAATGGATTTAATTAATTAAGTTTATAACAAATCAAGATTCCATGTCTGTTCTCACTTTGCTATATAAGCATGCTTTACTGAATAACAGTTTAATTTTATATTCTTACTTAAGGAAGTATTGCACATGGTAGTTAATTTCGATGGGCAGCTTGTCAAGTGTGAAGACACCGTGAGTTTTGGACACAGTGTGGGCAGTCGCATCAAACTCCAGAAAGCCCACACTAGGGCCCAGGATATAACAGCCAAACTCATAAGTGGTGGATCTATCCACCACACCAGTAATTTTGTTATATTTCATGGCAATCTATAAAAAAGAAATAAGTTCACTCTAATAAAACATCAGTGCTGTCTTATTTTCAGATGAATTCAAATACTGTAGATCACTAAATTTTCGCGACACCTTATTTTCGCTAGATAGTCATTGACTCATGATTAGCGAGATAAAAATTTCACGAATTGTGGTTATTGCCCTATATGATCTTAAGGAATGCTATTATATGCGTGAAATAAATTTTCGCGAGCACGCTGTCTCGCGTAATTACGCGAAAATAAAGTTCTCGCAAATAAAAAGTAAAAAGTAGTTGGAGGAAAGAGGTTATTACATGTATTTAAAATGCTGTTGGACTTTTTCTTCATTAAAGTGGACAATTTTCTTCACAAGCTTTTAAGGTGATATTATCAAATGCAGCTTTGAATTGCCGTGCATTTTAAAAGTTTCCAAAAATCAACTGAATAAAAACTATTTATAGAAATTTTTAATAAATACATGTACATGTAATACCTCCCTATAAAGGACACATTTTCTTTAAATCACTATTTTGTGGATAAGATAAACTTTTATAAGAATTACATTTTTACCTTATGATAATCTAAATACACAAAGCTGGCAGGGAAAACCCCTAAAAAGACAATGGCTGAGATGATCCCGGTCACTAGAATGACAGCACAGCACAGCTGATTAAACGATACGTTCTCCATACGACGGCGAATAAACTTCTGTAGACGAGATCCAGACTCCTCCTCCCTGTCAGAAAATTCAACTTAACAACGCTCAACAAACAAATTCTATCCTACAGAACGTTTTAGAAATGAGCTTTTTGACATAAAGTTTGTATAGTAGCATTCTGTTAGCGATATTTGCACATTAAAGTTTTTTCGCATTAAAAGCAAACTAGTTTCTTTCAGGTCTAAATTAGAAGTACTGTGAGCACTGAACTCACTAAATGATCACACAACATGCTGTCTCGTTAATAGATACCCTCGTCTCCCATGTGGTTATAATAGCAACATCCTTGTTTTGCTCTGGGAGGCTCGAAATAATAATAGGAGGTGCACATTCTGCATAATGGCGTTATGTAATAAAAAGAATCTGTGAAAGAATCATTAATTTTTACTCAGTTGTATAGGAGGAGTTGTGCATAAGAGATGAGTACCCTTCACCACAAATGAAAGAATGGCAGTGTCCAAGTTTTTCTGTGAGAAACTCTAAATATGTGTCAGATCAAAAACATAAAACAGGAGGCGCACAATGGCTCTATGTAACAAGGATTCTGTAAAAGTCTCAATAAATTTCAGTCAGTGGTACATGTATATGAGGAGTTGCAGATAAGATATAGGTTCCCCAAAGCATAACAGATGTACAGACAGCTAGACAGACACAGACGGACGTAGAGATTAAAGGAAATTCCAATCACTATGTAACCCCCCCCACCACTTTTCAAGCAGGGGGTATAATAAACGTTTTTATTTAAAGATACAATACTATGTCATTGTACCTGTCTTGAGTTCTTCCTTCCTCCACTGTAAATACACCCACAGGAGACGGCTCTGGTATGGGTGTCGGAGGTTCTTCTACAAGAAGATTAGTTTCGGATTTAATTAAATGTGATGTAGCATTTAAACTTAAGAATAAGAAATTCATTTCATAAAAGAATACTTCCAAGAAAGTCAAATGGTTATCTTAAGAAGTTGAATTTTTTTTATTATTGTAAAAATATATAATTTTTTTTTGCAGAGAAATGGAATGTATTATGTATTACACTGTATCAAATTTACCAGGTACATATGTAATTTGATTGGTCCTCACCTAATGACATCATTGAGGCAGAATGAGAAGCTGGTGGAGTTTTATGTGGTTCAGGGACATCATTAGAAGCTGAAATACAATGATCAAATATTATATCAATCAGATATACAATCAATGTGTCAAAATTACTTATTAAATCAGATAATCACAAATATTTTATACAATACATTTAGTCATGCATATGCAATAATTAACACAGACAGCAATCTAATCAAATCAAAATAAGTTTTTCTGATCCACTCAATAATTATCATTAATCTGAATTTTATATGAATTTTTACCAGAATCTTGATCTGTCCTTGGAACTATATATAAATCCCTCCTGGCCCCTGGACTGTGAGGTCGATACGAGGGTCGTAGGGGACGCTAAAATACAATATCAATATAAAATTATTTTTAGAAGAATTACATGCATTTTTAACTAATAATAGACATTTTATTTAACATTAAAATGTATTCACAATCTAAAAGTAGTTGTTAATCAAAAAGTTAAACACGAAATGTGATCATAACACACTTATAGTGTGAATTTTTTACATTCTTTATGACATTCCTCTCTCCCCATCTACTTACACGCTCCGCTTCATCAATTTCCTCTTGTGACGAAATTCGGTGATCATCAACTGATGAGGAAATTCCCTGATCATCATGACTTTGATCTCTGACATAAAAAGGTGAATTGTTTATATACATTTTATATTATTTTTGTTATTTCAAACTTTGACTTTGCATTCTGAAGGCCTGGTAAATTCTATAACATATACCACAGCTCAATTTCTCATGGTAAGATAAATCAAAATTGTTATGAAAATTCTAATATTAATTCTTTTCACTAAAATGCCTGTATTTTCATTATTTCACCAATGGCAACTCATTAAAACATGCATTCTTCATGTGTAGAGAATGTTTCATCAATCATGAAAATTATTCCTCGCAAATTGATTTTAATCTGTGGAATCGCGAATAAAAGATGGTGCGAATAGTTGGTTTACAGTAATGGAAACAACGGAAAGATTTTATTTTACTTTCTAAATTTGAAACTTGCTATCCGCAGTTCAATTGAAAAAATTCTCATTAAAGAAAACTTATTACCTATCTTTTCTGTTTTTGTTTTCTTTGGACTTCATACATTTCCTTACCTCGTATTCATTGCCTCCTCATATGTTGGTAGTTGATCTACAAAATTCAGGTTATTGGTCACTACTATATCATCTGTATATATAAACCTAGGCATAAACAATCAATAACTTTGAAATTTTCTGCATTAAATCAAAATACAAAGGTGTTGATGAAATCCAACGCCATGTCATGTTTCTGGATAAGAACACACAAATAATTTGAACTGTCATAAGGAAATGAATGCCCCCCTGTGAGCTTGCTTACTTGAAAATCTGCTTAAAAAGACTCTGTAGTATAATAAGATTACAGGTAAAAAGATTCAATGCAATATTTGAACTACAAATGTATTATTTACATATTCCTTATCACGATAAACCATAAGTCAAACATCTGCATAACACTGCTTAAATCCTAACAAAACACTGCTCTTCTGCACCTTGTGAACTTGACAAAATGATCTTGGCTAAGGATCCTCTGGTCAAGGACAACTGGGGGGCCATAAAACTTAGAAAAGCTCACTTTTGATTTGTCTCACTTTTCCACTATATATTCCTTTGATAAAAGTGAGACCAAGATCAAAAGTGAGCTTGTCTAAGTTTTTGGCCGCCAGGCCTGAACTGTATTAGCATGAACATCTAAAGAATCATTTTGAATATATGTAATACTGAGCTTGGACCTTCTCTCTAACATACCCATAACCTGCACAACAGGTAGAACAGTCAGATGGAAATATGGATTTTATTTTATACGCATTAACCCCCCCCCCCCCTTTCCAAAAAAAGAAACTGGGTAAAAATAAAAAGTGTGGTCTATTATATTCAATGCTGTTTACAAAAAGTGTGACTTACCATCCTGATTTGCACTGTTGTCATGGTGTGGAATGCTATGGTTACTTGCTCTCAAGTTTGCTAATATAAATACAGTGCATGTAAATAAAATATTAAACAATAAATACCATTAATTATGTAAAAGTTTAAAATTGACATTTAAATCTTTACATAAACATATAAGGCTGATCATTAACTATTTTTTTATGAAAGTTGAAATAATATACCAGTATAAACTGGTACATGTACATTGTAATTCAGTAATGTGGGCAGTGGTCCACAAATTTATCACACTCTGATACTTAAACCATTTATAGTCTCTGACACAGAACAGATGACAAAACTACTTATTAAGAGGAGACAGCCCTCAACTAACTAATGTTGCTTCTATGTAATTAAGATTTTTTTAAAAAAATATATTGTAGTAGTCAGTTTACAGAACTGTAAAAGACTACATGTACATGAAATCAGCCCATGAGGGAATTGCCCTCACATTTATGAACATTCTACAGATACTCCAATGCCCCCCAAAACAGTATTTACATGCTATCTGTTTTAGTCCATCATATTACATGTATCTCCTATGGTCAAATTAGTCAAGTGCATTTTTAATAACACCAATTACAGTTCATACATACCAGTAACTTCATGTAGTTCTGCAAAAGAAGTAAAATATTTAAAGTTAAACTAGAGCAAAGCTCGTTGCAAAGCAATGAGTAGGTCTTCCGTCCTGTTTGACCGGAAGTAATTTTTATTTTAAAAAAAAGAAGAGAGAAATGACGTCTCTAATGATTTAAATCTTCGAAATCTATGTTGATAATTGCAAAAGTAAGCCATTTTTGCTACTTCCTGTTTGACCGGAAGTGACGTCAACGGACGGAAAATTAAGTTTTATGCTTCCAGTGACAAATATTTCCCCAAAACATGTCAAAAATATGCAGTTTCAAACTACTTCCGGTTTGGCCGGAAGTGACGTCACAGGACGTATTTTGATGACATCAGTAGATTTTACTAGGAATTCTCAACAACTTTGCTTCATTGATGTATAACAAATTCTCAATTCTTTTAGAGATATCTGGAAAAAACTTTTGGCCCCTCCAGATCCCTTAATTTAGGGGTCAGCCCTTTCTCCGACATATCATTTGAAAGGCCTTCTAATTCTGCACAAATTATGTTCTATATATTTTAACAAAATATTTTTAGTTTAGAAGATAAAAAGCAAAATATGAGTAATTTTTGGCTCTTTTAAGCGTTCTAATTTTTGACCCCTATATAGCGCCATCTTGAATAAAGAAATCGAAAAACAAAAACCGATGTGCACAACTTCAATCCTTCTATTATCTAAAATCAGTAGAATTTCTGCTCCAGCTTTAGCCGTCTCTGAGCCTTTGTCTGGAAACAAAAGCCTATAAATTTTCGTTTAAAGGGAAATAACTCAAAACCGGAAGTGGCTTTTTGAAATTTTAGACAGCATTCTGATAGAGTTTAGTAACTTCTAGTACCTCTGAAAATTTGAGCGAAATCAATTGAGAAATGAGTGAGATATGAGGCTTCAAAGTTGGCGTCTAGGAAGTAGAAGAAAAAAAAAAGAATAATAATCTTTACCAACAGAATCAGTAGAAGGTCTTCCGTTGGAAACGGAAGACCTTAATAATGAAATAATTTTCTTAAATTTAATCACATCCATGATTTAAATCTATGGCCTCTGACTTCTTCTCAATAAACAGTTCTAAAGAGGTTAGATTCTCAGGAATTCAACTCTGGTCTCCAAAGAGATTACTGTTAGACATAAAGACTCAAGTTTTACTCCCTGCTTATCTCTATAAACTAACTAAAGGCCTTGTTAACTCCTAATAAGGCTAGTATACAACAGTTTGCCTTACCTACTCCTTGGCTTTCCACCTCTGTCTTCTTCTGGAGAACCTTCCTTGCTGCTTCCTGCATTTTAAGCTTCTCCTCACCCTCTTCATCTGAAAATCAACATTGACAAACATCAAACATAGGGGATAGGCATCTCACTCTTCACTTTTCTATCAATTTTAGTCCAGTTAACCCTCCACAATGAATAAAACATTTATTTAATATAACAAGGTCAGATAATGCACTGAAATTTTATTTGCAACTTTTTTGGAATATGATTTAAACAATTATAAAAGACAGACAAAAGTCATTAATTTTTTCATTAACATGTTTAATTTTTCCATGTCACTGTGTTTAAAAAAAGTTTCATTGATTGCAAATAAAACTCTTTCAGTTTAAATTAATGCTGCTAATGAATGGGAATTATGAATCTGATAATAACTGATATCAAATCTAAACCATGTTAGAAATAGAATAGCCTGCTGGTTTCGAGACTGCCACATTACATGTACATGCATTCATGTGTTCAGGAAACAACCTGTGACTGACAACTTGTGCATGTTTTTTTTCCCTCCTTTTGTAGGAATTGGTTTTCACTTTATCAAATTAACAGTTTGCTGATTCTTTATTTCATAAAAAATAGTGTAAAACAACCATTCTAATGCAATTGTTTTGTAAAACACGTTTTGATTGGCTAATGTGCTGATGTTTAAAGCGTAAAATGAGCATTAATGAGTCTAAGAGTGAAAGCTTTCCATTGTGACGGCAAAACAGAGCGATGCAAAAAACACAAGGCTCCGTGACGTATTTCATATAACAAAACTTCAACAAAATAAGACGTAAACAGCAATACTGCATAGATTACATTAGAATTGGAATAACTAAGTTCTAATTTGGTATTTGCAACCGTAAATGCTGATTTAAAGGTCCCACACATCCGTTTTACCAGCTCCGCTAATACCAAATTAGAAGATAGTTATTCCCTAATTAACATACCTCTGTCCTGCCTTCTGTCACCGCTGTCCGCCATGACTGATTGTGTGGAAGCTCACTGTACTTCCTTTTCTCTGAAGATCTGCTTAAAAAAATGCATTAATATTTATCAGATGTTTTTTTAATTTAGTTTCTCCATCCCTAGTTGCAATAAGGTAGCCCTCTCATTTTGGGGTGGGGCAGGAGTATAATGTTTTCATAAAGTGGGAAGGCTTATCTTTTTAAGTTTTGCAAACAATCATATAAATGTAACAAAATATAACTTGGTATCTTTTTTTACCATTCAATATCCATTTTATATGCAGTAGCTTAACATAGCCTCCATCTGTTTTAGTGTTTATTGAGGACTTCCAATTTGCATGAGCAATTTCGCAATATTGATGAAAAAACGAAACGAAAGCACTTCATATGTTGAATCTTTTTAATTTTCTTACCTCCTCGAGTTCACATCCTGCGTTACATTGTCAGTTATTAATTATATTTTAAGGTGTGACAAATCTTCTGATCATTTCTGATTTCAGATTAGATGCATTTGTTTACATGAAAATTGAAATTCAAACATCCAAATAACTCGGATTGTAAATACTAAAATTCAAACAGAACAGATCCAAATTTTCCGAAAAAAAATACAAAGCCTATGTTAAAAACATTTTATGCCCCCCGCTCAGCCTCTCGTTGAAAGAGGGGTATATTAATTTGGGTTTAACTGTATGTCAGTCTGTCTGTGGGGACGTCTGTTTGTCTGTCTGTCTAACAGTTACACTTTCACTTTCTACTCTGATTAAGCCAACCCTAATCTTATCGTCGTTAGCATGGTTAGGAGAAGGGGGTGCATGGTTTTAATTCGTAATTAACTGTTTCGTTTCCTACCGCATAATAAATAATAAAGCATTTTTTTATTCTATATGAGCGTTTGCAATGAAATTCTATATCATAATTTCTTATGGCTAAAAGAAGACCTCAATTAAATTTTAGATCAGACTGCATCTATATTTAGTTTAATTTCATTTCATGAAAAGGCAAAGATATATATATATATATATATATATATATATATATATATATATATATATATATATATATATATATAACCCCTATAACTAAATATCTAGCCAAAGTCCAAAATATCTAGAGACTTTAACTCCCAAACTTGCAAAACTTGCTTATATTTTATTTTACAAAATATGAAGTTTTTCATTTTCCATAAAATGCACAAAACACGGTCCACTAAATTATTAAAAACAATTCATCACAATCAACCTATCAAATACTCGACAGGAAACTCAAATATAGAAAAAGAAATTCTGCAGTTTCTCGGCATTTGTCAGCCATATTGAATTTTCGGTGCAATTCCCTACACATGCCCTGCACAGGGTGTAGATTGTGTACACTATACTTTGTGTAGCGATAAAAAGTGGAGCGGATCAAAGATCTAATTTTAATTAGATTGCAAATGATCAAATATAAAGCTCATAAATTCATATATTCTGTACATGTAATATTTTTTTTCTGTTTTAATTAAATAATGCCTTTGCAAAGTATTATGACGTCATAATCAACAAACTCATTGTTACGTCACGAATAGTTTGTGTGTTGTTAGATACTGTCATTACATTGGCGCTCTGTAAAGATCATGGGTCTTTTTCAGAGTTGTTTTGCCAGAAATAACAAAGTGGGCGTGATGAAGGAAGAGATGGAGGCGTACGAGAAAGTACGACGTACAATGGTTACAGAGGAAGTAACAAAAAAGAAAGGCGGTGTGGCCTTTGATCTCACCTTCGTTTCAGAGGAAACCCCAAAGATGCCTCCACCCAGATTGCTTGAAAACAAAAAGGAGGATTTTGAGAAATGGAGAGGTTGGTGTTTATGTATATCCATTCAATGAGGTTTTTAGTTCACCTGAGCCGAAGGCTGAAGTGAGCTTTTCTGATCACATTTTGTCCGTCGTCCGTCCGTCCGTCTAGCTGTCTAGCTGTCCGTCCGTCCGTCTGTAAACTTTTCACATTTTCGACTTCTTCTCAAGAACCACTGAGCCAATTTTGACCAAACTTGGCACAAAGCATCCTTGGTTAAAGGGGAATTTAAATTGTTAAAATGAAGGGCCAAGTCCCCTCACAAGGGGAGATAATCAAGAAAAGACAAAAATAGGGTGGGGTCATTAAAAAATCTTCTTCTCAAGAACCAATGGGCCAGAAAAGCTGAAACTTATGTGGAAGCATCCTGGGGTAGTGTAGATTCTAAATTGTTCAAATCATGACCCCCGGGGGTAGGGCGGGGCCACAATGGGGAATCAAAGTTTTACATAGAAATATATAGGAAAAATCTTTGAAAATCTTCTCAAGAACCACTGGTCCAGAAAAGCTGAAACTTATGTGCACATGGAAGCATTCTGGGGGTAGTGTAGGTTTCACAATGTCTAAATTATGATCAGTGGGGTAGGGTGGGGTCGCAATATGTATTACAAGGGGGAAATCTTGTAAAGAACAAAATGGCCAAAGCTTCTTAGGTGAGCGATGTGGCCCATGGGCCTCTTGTTTCGACTAAAACTTTTTCAACCCAATATACCGTATAAGTAGAATTTTTAGCGAGGATTTAATTTTGGCATTATTAGCGAGGGTGCCGAGATCGCTAAAATTGAATATCGCTAAATATTAATTGCGTTTTATTTGTAATAGCTTCTTTAATATGCATTTTTAAATCGCTCAAATAACATCTCGCTAAAAATAAATTACCCGTTTTTAAGGACAAATCGCTAAATTTGCGTCTCGCTAAAATTTCCACTTATACTCACTTATACGGTAGTAGGCATAAGCTTGCTCCAAGTAATTGGAATGCGAATGTTTATGACTAGGAAAAAGCATCAGTATTTGTACCAATTTCAAATTAAAACATTTTGTATTTGATTATCTTTTTGTTTGGCAGAATCTCAGGAAAAAGCCCAGATCGAGAAACAAGAGCGGGCACAGCAGATCAGAGAGGAAGCTCGTATCCAGAAAGAGATTGAAGTGGCCCACAAGGAGATGGAGAGGCTCGAGAAATATGTCAACATCGATAGCACTGCCCAATGAATTAGACTCTTGATATCATTGACTAAAATTTTAATTAACACAATACTTTAATCTGTAATTTTTAACATTGGAACCAAAGAGGGGACACCCGAGCTCTTTATAAGCTGTGTTTGGCTTTTAATTTCACCTGTTTCTTTCTTTCTTTCTTTTTCTTCTTTTTTTTTTTTTTTTTTTTTTTGCCTTTTGATTTTAAAAAAAATTCAATTCGCAATGTGGGGCCTTGGAGACAGATCTAAGGCTAGCATAGCGAAACAAAATTTTACTTTTCCAAAATGTTCATGTCTTTCGGAACTTTGGCTCTATAAATACTCATTCCGTCAGGAATCAGGAATGGGTATTACGTTGGAACACCCATCCCGTCAGTGATCAGGGGTGGGGGCTCCTCGTCAAAAACTTCTAAATTGTAAATGAAACATCCGTTTAGAGATGTCCAAAAGCTCCGTTGTCCTCTCTTTTCAAAAATCTGTAATCCAAAGTTCAATAAACTAATTATTTGCAACCACATTATCGTGTTTTCTTATTTTTGTGTAAAAATGTGTATATATGTAAACTTTTTGCACTTAAAATTAAACTGAGGCTAGAAAACATCATAAAATGTTATTCATATGTTAGTACGTGTTTTCTTAATTATTGTTTAGTGTATGGACAAAATTATCAATTAATTTTGCTTCGTTGCATCATTGAATTAAGAAACATTTCCATGACGACATTAATTTGAAGTTTTCCAAAGAATTTTGAATACTTTAAGAATTTCCTAACATTTTCGTTTTAAAGAATTAAAAAGATAATCTTGGAGTATATCTCCAAAACCAACTCGTCTTTATACATCAATGGAAAATGTTTTGGGCTTTGCGAAAATACAAAGGTGTAAATATGACTTTATCGTTCACATTTTAAATACATGTATTTGATACTATACATCCCCATGGAATTTTTTTTTAAGACAACAGTCTTTTCCTGAATTTTTTTATTGGGGTACATAAGATATACAAACATGTCCCGCAGATATTAATTTATTCTTACTAGAATCTAAATGAACTTAAAATGCCATGAAATTAAAACTCTTTAGTGAACAGTCACGGTGGAACAGTAA